GACCAAAATAGGTGAGACGAAGTCTGGCCATTCTCGCTTCCAAGGAGCATTCTGGCTGCACTTCCTCCAGGACAGATCTGTTAGTTCTCTTAGCAGTCCATGGTACTTTCAGCATTCTTCGCCAGCACCACAACTCAAAAGCATCAACTCTTCTTCGGTCTTCCCTATTCATTGTCCAAACTCACTGTAGTTGAGTCGTATTTGACCCATAGCGACCCCTTCTTGAGTTTCCAAGGTGGTATCTCTACAGAAGTAGATTGCCTAGTCTTCCTTCCAAGGAGTGGCTGGTGGGTTTGAACCACTAATCTTCTGGTTAGCAGTCAAATGCCTTAGGCACGAAACCACCAGAGCTCCCTAAGGAACTTAGTATCCCTTTAAAATACTAAAGAACTTTAGTGTTTCCTCCAAAAAAAGAAAGAAAGAAACTACCAAACTCACTGCCATGGAGTCAATTCCAACTCATAGCAATCTCCACTGGTTTCCAAAGCTGTAAATCCTTATGGAAGCAGACTGCCTCATCTTTCTTCTGTGGAAGCCTGGTAGGTTCAAACCACTGACATTTTGGTTAGTAGCCAAATGCCTTAATCACTACACCACCAGAGAGCTCCTTCTTGTATTTCTTAATATGTGCTATTTCCTTCAAGGATAATCAAAACCTAACTTATTTCAAATTTGTGACTTAACTGACTTTCACATACCTGGCTTCACAGTAGTGACTCCTTCTCCAATGCTCTCCACAACCCCAGTTGCTTCATGACCCACAATAACTGGAAACTTAGACACCATTAGTCCTTTGATCACGTGGTCATCTGTGCGACAGATTCCTGTGGCCAAAAGCTGTATTTAAAGACAAGAAATGTTGGACCAGTCAGCAAACTGGTCATTTTACAGAAGGAGGGATATTTAACTTACTCTTGAAGAGATTATAATTATTTATTCAATATGATTGACTAACATAGTTGTGTTGACTCTTAGAAAATTTTGATCCTAATATCAGCCATCAAACCAGATCCTTCTACCTGGACCCTTGGTAGTCTTTCAAGAGTAAATTGGTGATCATGTGAATCAGAATGCAGATGCTACCATGTGCCTGGCATAAAAGTCACCAGCCCCTCTAGTACTTTCTTAATAAAAGGTAGAGGGAACTGTGTGCAAGAAGGTAAGTGAGGAATAAAATCTTACTATTACTATTCAGGCAACAGGAGAAGATCAAAGAAAGAAGGTGAAAGAAAACTTTTAAAAGGAATCATTAGTCATGGTTGTTAACATTGCTTCTTTAAAAAAAAAATCAGAGAGTGTGTCAATAAAAATTCAACAAAATAAATCTTTAAGAAAGCAGATTGGCTTTTTTTTTTTAACTAGTTAAGTCATTCATTTCACATCAAGTATGACTAGATTCTTAACAGTAGACTAAGAACCAGCAAGATAATTAATGTCCAAAATTTTTGAAACATCTTCTTATTTAAGAACCCAATATCACAAAAAAATTATATTCAATATAGACTTGATCACATATTAGGCTTATGTGCTCTAAATACTTGTTACCTGAATGCGAACTTCTTTAGCTTTTAGTTGGGCAACTTCTATTTCCTCAATGGAAAAGGGTTTCTTCGGTTCCCATAGCACAGCTGCTTTGCATTTAATAACCTAAGAAATTATTGAAAGTTACAATGGGGTCCTACTTATGTATTTATAAAACGAAATAAAAGAATACAGTTGTATTGAGTTGATTCCAACTTATGGCAACCCCAAGTGTGCAAAGTAGAATTATATTTCATAGGATTTTCTAGGCTGTAACATTTAAGAAATAGACATTCTTTCTTCTGAGGTGCCTCTGGGTAGAGTGCTTAACAGTTTGTACCACTCAGGGACTCTTTTATAATATAGACTACTGGATAATGTAAATATGGACTTGTGATCACATATAATATCCTCATTGACCCAAAATTATTTTCATTGTACTCTAGAATTGTAATCTTTAGTGATTATCTTGTGTACTCCTTTGTTCTATATATGAGAAATGCAACCTAAAGGAGCTGTATGATTGATCCTTGGTCACATAGCGCAAGAGAAGCCCAGCTGGACTAGATCTGAAGTGTACTCTTTCCACCCCGTGGCTTTTTGCTGGCATTCATATAATATTCTGCCAAATTAGGTTCTTTTATTTCAATTTCATTTGAAATATACTATCCTACCTGTTACCTATATGTTGCTTACTCATAAAAGATAAATTTCTATTAAAAAAATTCTGCTAACTTATTTGCAGAAATTTAAACCAGCATTTAACTGCTATCCCATCATGTAGCAGTGGTGAGAAATTAGAAGATTGGGAGGTTAGAGATGAAGGGAACCAGGAACATGGTGACACATTGACTATGGGTTTCTGGATTATTCAAACAGAGCCTTTGATTCTCAGTACTCCTTTTACATCTAGCCCAGAGTTTATACATCTGGTAGGTCTCAATAGTTAGGCAAGTCAAAGTGTCTCATCTTACAGAGACAGAAATTAAGGAGACAAGATATGCAGTGACTTGCCTCTAATCATTCAACTTGTGTTGCCAGAGAGTCATTCAGTTAAATGCTTTCCCTAAGATTATCTAATTCTGAAATTGAAAGAGAGAGAGAGATTCTTACTACCTTCCCGTTCCAAAATACATCTAGGGCTCATAGAAAATATTTTAATCAATTTGTTCAGATGATAAATGAGTAAACCATCATCTTGACATATAATGTAACACCCTTAGAAGAATTTTAAATGGTCACTTGTCTCTTTTGCAAAGAGAGTAAATGATATGCTGGGACAGATGGGTGACTGAAAGACATAAGTAGCTCAATTTAATAATGACTTTTTGCCTCTTTAAGAAAAATATTATGGATCATGCTGTAATGCAGCCCAATGTTGAAGTTAGGAAGTTCATACCATTCTCAAATAAAATCCACATTGATTAAATAATTAAGATTTATTATTAAGGTCAAACTGTTTAAAAATTAATAAGGAAGTCAGTATCAAATACATAAAATATGGCAAAACTTTTATGCTTCAGAATGATAGAAAAAGGCTTAAAGGAAACAACCAAAAAACCAGTTGCCATAGAGTCAATTCATCGGGTCATTGAAATTCATTGTTTCAATGGCTGATTTTTCTCCCAAGGTGCCTGAGAGTGAATTCATACCTCCAAACTTTCAGTCGGCAGCTGAGAGCATTAACCAGGAAACAACAGCTTCCTGAAAGTTTTGTGTGCTGAGGAAGAGTATTTAAACCTTCTAAGTTGAAAGTAAATACTCCTAAGGAAATTAAAATATGCTTAGGGTAAAAATGAAAAAGTTTAAACATTTTTATAACTGTAATGTTTAATCAAATTTATGAGGAAAGCTCCTCCCACATATCATACACACACTCCGAGGTACAATAAAAGAAAGTAAGCTATTACATAACAAAAGTGGACAATACAACAAGTTAATGAATATATTAAGGAGTACTTGTTCTCAATCATAAAACATTTTTCTTTATAAAATCAATGAGAAAAAATTGTCTGCTTATTAAGCCAGTAATGATTTTTTATTTAATTAGAATGCATAGTACAAAGCTGTGGTAAAATGGGTGATCTCATTCCGTCAACACTTTTGAAAAGTAATTTGGCAATATAAATCAAGATACTTAAAATGTTTAGATGCTTTTACCCTACAATTCCATTCTAAAATCTACCTTAAGCAAATGCTGAATTCAAAAAAATCTTGATATGTATTAGAGCTCATTACAGCACTATTTATAATGGAAAATAGGTAAACAATCTAAACGACCAATCGTATAGTGAGACAAATTGTGATTCACATAGAAACTGAAATTAGGCTTTAAAAAAATGTTTATAAATTGTAATAAATAGGGAAAATTTTTATAGCAAATTGGACAAATAGAATAAATATATTACATTAATTTTTTTTTAGTACAACTGCTTAAAGATATGGAGGGAAATTTGCACAGAGGGAAATACAAATTAAAATAGAAGTTTGGGCTGTATGACTATGGTTGATTTTTTTGCCTCGGGTTTTCCCATTTTCCAAATTTTCTAGAATAATAATCTTTCAATCCTTTTAATGAAAAAGAAAATATTTATTATACAGAGAAAAAATGTGGTCCTCAATGTAAAAGAAACTCTTCCTTTCATAAGCTAGGCTGAAGCACTAGAGCAACTTGGGAGTTACATCACCCTTATGAAACTCATATTATTGCATGACTGTCTCTATGTCAAAGTTATAAAGTTTTATGACTTATATTATATGTTGTATCCATTAATTATAACTAGAACATGCTATCTTGAAGCTACTGAGTTCTCCATCATTAGAAATGTTTTAACAGTGGATAGAAACCCACGTGAAAGAGGTAGCATAACTAAAATGAAGCTTCTGTTGGGTGGGTAGAGCTGCAAATTGTTAAGATTTGTTCTAGTCTTAAAGTTTACTAATTTTATGGGTAGAGTTGGTAGCTTCTATAATGCAAAATCATTCCCCAATCAACCTAGTTTGTTGGCATTCTGACCCATACTAAACCAAAAACCAAACTCACTGCCGTCAAGTTGATTCTACTCATAGTGACCCCTCCTTGGGTTGCTGAGGCAGTATCTCAATGGAAGGAGATTGCGCAATCTTCCTTCTGAGGAGTGGCTGGTGGATTTGAACCACCAGCCTTCTGGTTAGCAGTCAAATAAATGCCTTAGGCACTATGCCACCAGAGCTCCCCTGACCTCTACTAGGATGCTTTCATTCCTGCTCCATTCAACTCCAGGAACAATTATTTTAAATTCTAATATCATAGAGTCTCCTCATCTGTCATGTTACTCAGACTTTAAATGTTGTCATTATTTTTTCAAAACATTAACGTAGGTGAAAAAGGGCATGGGGAGGTTGTTCTCTTAGTCTGACCCCCTCTAGCTTCATGAGGCGGTGAGAGAATCATAATCAGCAGCATATGCCAAGGCTGATTCCTATGAGTTAAAACAAGACATGCCACCACCCTCCAACTTTTTTTTTTTTTTACCAATTTTGATAACAATATTTCCTCCCAAGGCACTCACTACTTCTCTGCTGGGTTCGAAAACTCATGGTAATGGCCACACAGAACTCACAGAAAATACACACAATTAAGAGACTTATTAGGTAAGCAATGAGCTATAGCTCAGGTTCAGGAATGCTCAGGATACAATTTTTGGAGAGCCTCCCCTCTTCCATGCCCATAGAAACATCTCTCTTTGGCCCTTAGTCTCTTGGCCTGGCCTCTGTCCTGCTACTGCAGGTGTTACAAAGCTCTCTTAGCTCTGAGTGCACCCCACTCTGCCATCAATCCTCCTTCACAAGGACACTCAGCTTTCTTGCTCCATGGGCTGGCAAGTGTCTGCTCTGTCTTGTATGGGTCTCTTGGTTCTGCTGCCACCCTCTCTCTGTCCTCTCAGTGCAGGGATTTCAGGTCCAAGGACACGCTCCATCCTGGTTCTTCTCTGTCTTTATGATAGTGATATTCCCCCCTTTTCTGTCTCTGGGATGTTTCATTGGGTTCCATATACCTTATTTGCATGGTTCCACCCCCACAAAGGTACCATGTAGCTTACGTGCATTGCTAACAAGCTGTCCAATCACCTTGGTAGGCCACAAAGCACCTCATATTTGCATAGTCCCACCCAGTCATCTGGTGGGAGTCACAGGCATCATGGCTGGAAGAGTATATCAAGTAATTCAGTGCACTGCAGACTTAAAGTTGCTTTAATAAACCAGCCAACCAACAGCAGCAACAAAAAAACTAATATTTTGAAAAATTAGGGACCCATTCAAGGAGAGGAAATATATTGACTAACTTACAAAAGAAGAAAATGCCAAAGCTATTTCTAAAGTTAGTACCAACTCTTTGTTAAAGAATAAAACATGCTTTATTATTGAAGTTTTCAGGGATTACATTTTACTTCAATCCACAATCAACACCCATGGAAGCAGTAGTTAAGAAATCAAAAGGTGTGTTGCATTGGCAAATCTGTTGCAAAAGATCTCTTTAAAGTATTAAAAAGCAAAGAAGTCATGTTGAGGAGTAAGAGGTGTCTGATTCAAGCCATGGTATTTTCAATTGTCTCACGTGCATATGAAAGCTGGACAATGAATAAGGAAGATTGAAGAATTGATGCCTTTGAATGGATTATAGTATTGACAAAGAATATTTAATATATCATGGACTGCTAGAAGAACAAATAAATCTGTTTTGGAAGAAGTACATTCAGAATGCTCCTTAGGCAGGAGAATGGAGATACTTTGTCTGACATGTTACTAGGAGGGACCATATCCTGGATTCAACATTGTGCTTGGTAAAGTAGAGGGTCAATGAAAAAGAGGAAGATTCTAATGAGATGGACTGACACATTGGCTGCTATAACGGGCTCAAGCATAACAATGATTGTGAGGTTGGTGCAGGATTAGGCGGTGTTTTGTTCTATTGTACATAGGTTCACTACCACTCAGAACCAACTCAATGGCACCTAACAATCACAACATATATTCTTGTTTTAAAAGATTTTTAAAACTTATATTTTTTATGGAAACCATATCCTTCAGAAATCCTCAAAGAATAACACACTGTTGTCTACTTTGCATTCCAGAATTAATATTTTCCATTTTTAACAACAGGAAAAATTTTTCCAATGGCTCATCTGCCACTGAACTACTGAGGGGATTTATCAAGACTGTTGAAAGTCTTGCTATGGAACATTTTTGCTTAACAGAGCAAATGTCCAGCTATCCTGAAACTAAATGATTAGCAATGTCAATATAAAACATATTTCTCTATTTTATTCCAATGTCTTACTGAAAAATCTTTCAGATGCTGTTTTCAATTTAATCCTGTTTCTACTGGCACTTTCTGAAATGCCCAAAGTTTCCTCCAGTGTATGTGCCTACTAAACAGGCATTTCATTCTTTAAGAAATGTCCCCAAATAATTATTTGAAGTTCTAAAAATCCATCTCACATTATTATATCTTGATCATGAAAAGACAGAAATTTTCTGCTTATCTTTCCAGCAGTGCTCATCTTGTCTTTCTCCTTGTCCTGTAATTCAGCAAATGAAATTTCTCTGCCTTATGCTTGGTTTACCCTGCTGCAATTGTTTTGTGCTTCATTTAAATACTTTGGCCCAAAATCCTGGTGCCAACAGTAATGATTCACAGCCTTCAAAATGTTCCAGTGGTCTGTGAGCCTCACCCTTTGAAGATTAAGTTGTGAAAAGAAATACAGTAACTCTTATGATGAAACCAAGAGTAGGGACCTAACAAAGGCAAGATAATCAAACCTACTGAAAAGGGCTGTAAACATTGCTACTCACCTTATATTTGAGGTTGTGAGAATAGTTCAGGTTAGTTCAGTTCACCATAATTCATTAAAAATGTACTGTGGGCTCCTTAAGAATAAGTTGTTCTGCTGGGCACAGTTGATTTTGTTGTTGCTAGGTGCTGTCGAGTCATCTCCAACTCATAGGGACCCTATGTACAGTTGATTTTAGGGATGAAGATTGTGTTTATGTTCTACTACATTGTACAAAGACTTGAGGTTGTTTGTGGAAAGCATACAATTAAACATGTTGTTGTTAGGTGCTGTGCACTCAACTCCAATGCATAGTGACCTTATATACAACACAACAATATACTTCCCAGTTGTGTCACAATCATCCTATACTTGAGCCCATAGTTGAAGTAACTGTGTCAATTCATCTTGTTAAAGTCTTCCCTTTTTTTTCTGACCTTCCATTTTACGATATCCTTCTCCAGGGAACGGTTCCTTCTAACAGTATGGCCAAAGTAGGTGAGAAAAGTCTGGCCATTCTATTTCCAAGGAGCATTCTGGCTGCACTTCTTCCAGGAAAGATTTGTTCATTCTTTTGGCAGCCTGCGGTACTTTGAGCATTCTTCACCAAAACCATAATAAATCAAATGCACCAACTCTTCTCTGGTCTTCCTTGTTCATTGTACAGATTTCACATGCATATGAGGTGATTGAAAATACATGGCTTGGGTTAGGCTCACCTTAGTCTTCAATGCAACAGCTTTGCTCTTCAAAACTTTAAAGAGGTCTTTTGTAGTACATTTGCCCAATAGAGTACATTTGATCTCTTGACTGCTACTCCCATGGGTGTTGATTGTGGATCCAAGTAAAATAAAATCCCATTAGCAATGTGAGAGCTTTGGTGGCATAGTGCCTAAGTCAATTGACTACTAACCAAAAGGCTAGAGATCAAACCCACCAGCTACTCCTTGGAAGGAAGAGTGGGCAATCTACTTCCATAGAGATATCTCCTTCGAAATGCAAGGAGGGGTGCCTATGAGTCTAATGGACTTGATGGCAATGAATTTGTTTGTTTTGTTTGGCTTTAGTGGTCGGTGCATAAATTTGAATAATAGTAGTATTAATTGGTCTTCCTTGTAGGCTTATGGATATTATCTTATCGCTGACAAAACTGTACTTCAGGATAGATCTTGAAATGTTCTTTTGTGGATGAATGTGTTGCCATTCCTCTTCAATATGTCATTCCTGGCTTCTTGTTGTTGTTATGTGCCATTGAGTTGGACTCGACTCATAGCAACCCCTCCTTGGGTTTCTGAGGCAGTATCACTACAGAAGTAGATTGCCCCATCTTTCTTCCAAGGAGTGGCTGATGGATTTGAACTGCCAGACTTCAGAATAGACCATATGATTGTCTGATTCTAAATGGCCAGTATCAGTCATTTCAGCCCCTAGGATAAGGAGCTCTAGTGGAGTAGTGGTTAAGGCATTTGGCTACTACTAATCAAAAGGTCAGTGGTTCAAACCCACCAGTTGTTCCATGGAACAGAGATAGGGCAGTCTGCTTCGATAAAGATTTATAGTCTTGGAAGCCCAGGGGGGATCATGATCAGTCAAAATCGACTCAATAGCAGTGAGTCTGAGTCTGGAATACTTAGGATATCAATATTTATGCATTCCATTTAATTTTTGACAACTCCTAATTCTCCTAGATTCATACTTTGTACATTCCACATTCCAATTATTAGTGAATGTTGGCAGCTATTTCTTTGTATTTTGAGTCTCTTCCAATCCAAGGGGCTCATCTTCTGGTACCAGTAATATATCAGACAGTGTTTCACTGCTATTCATAAGGTTATTAGTGGGCAATTTTTACAGAAGTGCATTTCCCTGTCCTTTCTTCCAGTCTCTTAGTCTGGAAGCTCTGCTGAAACCTTTCTACCATGAATGACTATGCTGATACTTCACATGCCAATGGCATAGCTTCCAGATTCATAGCAACACACAAGCCACAGCAGTATGACAACCTGACAGAAGAATGGTGGTTAGCTGGTATAGATTGCTGCAATTTGATGGCTTGCTCTGAACTGGTGTTTGCTTATGGATGCAGGTGCTCAAAGTTCCAACAAGAACAGAAGATTCTTCAGAGAAAGGGACATATTTGTCAGAATACTGATTTGATGTTGTTGTTGTTGTTGTTGTTGTTATGTGTCGTCGAGTCAGACCTGACTCATAGTGACCCCTCCTTGGGTTTCTGAGAGGGAACTCTGGTAACATAGTGCCTAAGGCATGGGCCTTTAGTTGGATGGAATCACAAGCCTGGCCCACTATCAATCATCTCCTTTAATCAGTGGCTTTGGCCTCAGGCCTTTCTCCCCTCAGTTGCAACATAACATCTCTCACATTACTTTCAGCTATTACAGGTAACAACAACCAAAGAAACCATCTAAGAATCAAAAGTTTCACTTACCAGGACCCTTCCTTCTTTCTCTTACAAAAAGTCCCATTCTTCCTTGAGTCTGGAGCCATTGCAACAAATCCTCCTTCTGATCCCAACTGCAAAAAGGGCATGAAAACGTTGTTGTCATTTGGCCTCCTCTAACTCCACAAAGGGGGAAAAGACAGCAGCCCAAAGGTAATTCTTGTGAGGTCAGATGTGCCACCACCTTCCAACCTTTTTTCCAGTTCTGACACCAATTGTCTTTGTCTTAGGCTGGGTTCTCTAGAGAAGCAAAACCAGTTAAGCTTAGAGAGAGAGAGAGAAATTTATCTCAAGTAAATGGCTCACACAGTTGTAGAGGCTGACAAGTTCCAAGTCTGTGGGTCAGATGTCAAACTGGAGGCTTCTCCTGACTTATGCTGCTGCAGGAGCTGACAATCTCAACATTGGTGGGCAGTATAGCAGGCTGCTAGTTTCAGGAGCTGACAGTTCCGAGATCAGCAGATAAAATGGTAGACAGTTGGTTCACAGGCTGTAAAGACAATAGCATTATGATCAGTAGCCAATATTGCAGACCACTTGTTCAAGTCCAGGAACCAGAGATGATGATGAGCCAGATCCAAATCCAGCAGAAAGCTAAAGATGTTTCTCAAAGTTTTTCCATATATACTGGAAATAGGCCACACTGTAAAGGAAACTCTCTTTCAACTGACTGGTTGCTCACAGTAGATTTCGTCATGCAGGTGATTACATTATATCAGATCTCATCATGGAGGATAACTATAATAGTTTAACTATTCACTCAACGACTTGCAACTTTCCTCTGCACCCAGCTCTCCTTTCCACCTCTGCACTCAGCTCTCCTCCTACTGCCTTTACAAACTCACTGATGATTGGACTGTTCATATAAGGTGAAGTTTACAGACTCACTGATGATTGCCCCTTTTGTAATAGGCATTCTACCTCCAAATTAAACACCACTTAAGCCCCACATGGCTACACAATCAGGGCTGGTCTCAGCCCATCTGCCAGACAGATGATTCAATAAAACTTATTTAACAATTTACTCTGGCCTGATTCCTCCTGGCATCGGCTACCTAACAGTTTGGTGCTGAAACCTGGGAACCACTAAGAGGAACCCAAAGGAAATCTCTACCCTCCATTGCTGACCCTGCATCCACCCCCAGCCACTTCATCTCTGGTAAGTGACATTTTGTCTTTCTCACATGGATTTCTGATTTGATAATTTCTCTCAAGACCTAGCACTAGGGCAGAAATCTCTCTCTCCAGCAGTGACCCCAGGATTCATCCCTCTAAGACCACCTCTGTTGTGGGGATGCTCAAAACAAATGGTCTCTTCCTCCTCTCTGGTGTCCGGTCAAGTGATGAGGATGCCCTCCTTTAGCCCAGACATGCAAGGAATTAAAATTGTCAGTTGTCTCCTTCTACTTCTCTTTGTTTAGAGTCTTGATTATGGGTAATTACCAATCAGTTCCTCCTAAAATCACCCTTCTGGGGTGTCTTTTGAGAAACCTAAATCAACTCATTCTCTCTATTGAAATTTGACCCAAGCATCTCATTTTCTTTTGCAGTATTGCTTGGTCCCAATACAAATAAGACAATGATTCTCAGTGGTCTGAAAATGGCACTTTTGATTTCAATATCCTCTATAACTTGGACAATTTGGTCACCACAATGGAAAATGGTCAGAGGTACCCTACATTCAGGCCTTCTTCCTCCTCTGCAACCAACCTTCTCTTTGACAGTCCTGTTCCAGCTATCAGATTCTCCTTTTCCACTCCAAACCCCTCCTATTACTCCCTCTCCCCCTGACCCAGAACCTCTGGAACCCAAGACCCCTTTCAACCCAGCTGACCATTCTTCTCCCTAACTGGTGTGTCCCCTCGAGAGCTACACCCACCGTCAAACCTCCCCCAGAACTGTGGAGAGGTAAACTTGAGCCTCCTCCAGGACCATGCTTCAAATGCAGCAAAGAGTACCATTGGGCCATATCCTGCCCAAACCCAAGACCCCCACCCAGTCCCTGCCCAGCATGTGGCATAGAGGGGCACTGGAAGTCAGACTGCAGTCATGCCTCTCAAGGCAAGATTACATCTCTTCCTAAAAACTCTCTTCTGAGTCTGATTTGGAGCTTCCTGGTCTCTTTGGCCTCACTGCTGAAGGCTAAGGGTTCATGGGTCCTGACCAGGCCCCATCAACTTCCAACTAGACCATGGAGCCACGGTAATGATGGTGGTGGCATGTAAACCTATCTCAATTTTAATAGATACTGGGGCCAATTATTCTGCCCTCC